CATATTTACCTCGGCAACTATTTGATCAGTGCTATAAACTCCTACAGTAGGTTCTCCGTCCGTTAAAAATATGATCAAAGGCTGCAACTTATCGGAACCCTTATTACTCTTCCGCTCATCTTCAATTAAATGCAATGCAACTTTAAGTGCATCGTTGATATTAGTTCCTCCATTCGGTTCAAAACCTGACACTGTATTTTTTGCCTTTTCTATGTTTTCTTTATTAACTGAATAAGCTGGAGGAAATCGAATATCCTGTAACAGAAAATAAAAATGCCTATACGTATTTATTTTTCTTTATAGGTGAAGTAAAAAGAATCACCAAAATAAAATTCTTGGTTAGAAATTTCAAACAATATAAAGATATTTTATTATGAATGAAACGCGTATTCAGATTGTTGAAACGAAATATATTAGTGCATTATTTACTTTAGATTAATAACTTAATATGGGATAATTAAGAGTTTTATAAAATTAAGGTATTATTGTAAATCGCACCACTGAAGAATAATAGATAAATAATTAATTATCGTCAAAAAGAAATTTAACAAAACAGTTATGAAGAACTGCATGTTCATTTCTTATGAAAGAAATTATTATCAAATTTCCACATACTTGAGGGAAGATAACTTTTAATAAAATTTTGAGTGTTTATTATAATTATTCACGAAGACTATTCCCGAAAAGAAATCATTTACTGTCATATAAAAGTCTCAACGTTCTTATTAAAAAGATTATTTCTTGTGTGAAACCGTCCACGTCAGTATTACAAAAAACCCTACATTTTACGAAAAATGTATCTACCTCTAAGCTAACATTTGTCCCCTCATAGGCCCATGATGCTCCTCCTGGAGGATACAGCGTACTTTCTGTACCATTCTGTAAATTCCATACCTTTACATCGGTATTAAATTCAACTAAATTAAATTTATCAGAACTTTTAAGCTCTTCCAATATGCTTTTCATGGCTTCTTTCAATTGGGCAATTTTTCTGTCAAACATGCTGCCACTAGTATCCAAAACAAAGACCACATGTTTTGGCAATGGATCTAAATCACTGGGAGCAAAAAAGTGAACAAAATAACCATCGTCCAGTAAAACCTAAAAGCAGATATATTTATATACTGTTAACTATACCGTATTACTCACATACTTCTCCTCCTAAGGGATCTCTTTCAACATCATATTGAACTATAAATTGACCAGCAAGGCCATCATTCGCTTCAGTTCCTAAATGCTTAGCAAGTTCCTTTTGTCTTTGAATAGAAGGATTGAAAGTTACTACTGCGGATGTTGAATTTATTAATTCTACATTTGCTCTAGGATCTAATTCTTCTTTATCAGAACCAATTTCATTACCAGTACGGAGAGGTGGCGCTCTAACATATTTTATAGGACGACTCTCTGCTAGTTTAACCTTTCAAAAATGATTCGTTTTTTAAAGGCGTATTTAAACTATTTTCATTTAATAAATTACTTTTTATACAGTAAAAGCTCTCTATTCGCGGGGTATACGTTCCATAGGGAGGGAGTGGATCAGCTACAATTTAACGTAATAATTAAACAGTTGTGGCAAGATAAACCTAATGTAACTGAGCACTGAGACCAAATATTTGTTTTATTATTAATTCGGAAGTTAATAAGAAACTGAGGAAATGGGTTAGCAAGATACCTTCTCAGGCATGTAAGGCTAGATAGAGACATATTAGAAGCAGGAACATGAGTTAAGCTGGAGAGAGGTATACCTACATATATTAGATTACTGTTCACAAATAATAATAGTTTTAGGAAAATGCGATGATTAGATCAGGATGTGGAGGTATACTTATTCAAACAATGTATAAATTTTTTGGTTGTTAGGTTGGGTTAGGTATATCTTACCTTCCTGATCAATTTTATTCTAATTCCTGTATTTAGCCTATTTATTACTAGAAGGCATCTTAATTGGTCGTTGGTACATTTAAAAAAAGTATTACTGAAGTCTTTGTCAAAACCTATACAAAAGTGAAATGGATGGAACTTACGGCTGTTTTGAGTAGATTCTGCATCGACAGACCTTGTTTCATTTGGTTTTACCACAACAAGTGAACTGACGGGAGTCACAAACGAATGTTGTAGAGCAATAGCGAGAGCTTTTTTCTTTAATTCATCAGGATTTTTTGAAATTTCCTTTTCCTCCAATAACTGTTTTACTGTAAGATAAGCCCAAATGCGCTGCAGACCAGTTACTGGCCTTTCGTAGATCGGTTTTAAATTTATTAATCCGGTTCCGCAAAACGCAACCACATCTAAGGCTATAACATCATCTTTTCCATTTTCTGGCGATTCAGATGGCGGCTGTTCTGAAAATATACAATAATAGTAATTCTCTCTTACATATTAAAGTTGAGAATGCTATAGTTACCGTAACGTCCTGCTACCACTATCTCTGACCCGTTGAAAAGTACCGGAAATATTGTCTTTGTCACCCCAGTTACAGTTGGCACATATTTAAAGGTGACATTAGCTAAAAGCGGAGAGGAAATTTGTTTATAAAATCCTTGTAGTTGCAAAGATGCATCTGCGCCTTCATAAATATGTTTTGAAAAGCCTGAGTTATGAAGAGCCAGCTTTTGAAGAAATTTCTTATCAGCTGCTTCTCCAAAAGAAAGAGAGAAAAGGACAGACTTTCTTCTACCTTGATTGAATTCAGAAATCTAAAACAATCGTATTTGCATTAGAAAACAATTTCAAGAATATTATAAAGCCTGAGACTGATCGATGGACATATTTACCTCGGCAACTATTTGATCAGTGCTATAAACTCCTACAGTAGGTTCTCCGTCCGTTAAAAATATGATCAAAGGCTGCAACTTATCGGAACCCTTATTACTCTTCCGCTCATCTTCAATTAAATGCAATGCAACTTTAAGTGCATCGTTGATATTAGTTCCTCCATTCGGTTCAAAACCTGACACTGTATTTTTTGCCTTTTCTATGTTTTCTTTATTAACTGAATAAGCTGGAGGAAATCGAATATCCTGTAACAGAAAATAAAAATGCCTATACGTATTTATTTTTCTTTATAGGTGAAGTAAAAAGAATCACCAAAATAAAATTCTTGGTTAGAAATTTCAAACAATATAAAGATATTTTATTATGAATGAAACGCGTATTCAGATTGTTGAAACGAAATATATTAGTGCATTATTTACTTTAGATTAATAACTTAATATGGGATAATTAAGAGTTTTATAAAATTAAGGTATTGTTGTAAATCGCACCACTGAAGCATAATAGATAAATAATTAATTATCATCAAAAAGCAATTTAACAAAACAGTTATGAAGAACTGCATGTTCATTTCTTATGAATGAAACTATTATCAAATTTCCACATAATGTACTTGAGGGAAGATAACTTTTAATAAAATTTTGAGTGTTATTATTCAGAGTGCGCGCAAAAAAATATA